TGATTTAAAATACATTTTTCCTCATTAATACTGTTGTTTAATTAATAATACAATCACACTAGAGTATTTTTGTACCATTAGTTTTACTGTTTAGACATTGCACAAGTACTGAAATGAGTCACTGTCCAACAAATGCTTATATATTATTCATTTTTAATTGCATTATTTTTAATGTCATCTTGGTATCAAAGTACTGGTACTTTTGACATATATACTTACCAAATTATAGTTGTGTATAGTTGTAATTTTCTCCAATAAAATGTATGTTTAATATTTAATGCTAATATTTATTGATGCTAATTTAGCATAGATGTAGAGGATTTGGAACTTAGATCTGATATGGTTTTAGTGATCAATGCTCCTTTGAAGCCAAAAAAGGGACGATGATATTACCATGGCATTTGTTTGACATATTTGTGAGTGATTCACCAGTTCGCCAGTAAAGCTGGTGCCACTCTTCAGCGCTCAGATCAGAGTTTGGTGGGAAACAATCCCTATGAGTATGAAAGGCTAACAACTGCGCGGATCAAATTAGCCGTTTTTATTTGTTGTGTTAACGTTCAGCTCACAATCACATAGGAGGGAAGAAATGTCAGGAATGAATGGATTAGGAGACAGAGGTGTTGAATAGAATGGAAGGGTGGAGGGATATTGGCCGAGGTTTGTCCTGTGGGGTAAAAATATAGCATTGTTTACAGAGGTTAAATTACACCTCATTTTTTGGTGTCATGCGTGCCTTTGTGGGGAGTCCATTGAAGTGTTGAAAATAAATAAGTTATAGAAACAAAGTAATTGTTCCCGTCAGCTGAGACGTCTCCCCAGTGCCTTCTCATATTTTTACCCATAGTGATGTGACATTTAATTTCCTGATGGAGATAGGTGCGTTGGTTTGTGTGTGCGTGTGTGATAACAGAGAAGATATTAGGAAACTCTGCTGTGACCTCACACCCTTAAACTTAGACATACTTGCTTTCCAGGCAATAGATTTGTCAGAGCAGACACACACACACACACACAGTCACAGTTTTTCAACACCATGTGATGCTTTATGGGTATTGTAACCAGATGGTGCCTTGCTTAATAACTCTTAAGTTGTCTGTTCACTGCACTATTTGCCATTTATCCGGTATGGGGTATTTGGCAAATCCAGTTAAGATGCTGGTGAGATGTGTTAGGCAGCGGGGTATTGAGAAAAAAGAAAAAGCCTTTTGCAGAAAGATTTTGCATCACGTAAATAAAGCCTATTTGTAAGAAAACATAATAAATATACATATTTAAGTGACATCATAATAGTATGATGCACTAAATTGAATTTATATTGGTTTTAATAAAAAAGAAAGAACATAATTGACAGCAAGATATTCATTCATGTTACAGTAATGAGCGAGACATTTATTCACATTACAGTAATGGACATTTTTCAATGGAAATAAAATAAAGTTAAAATAATAAAAGTGCTTGATGAAAAACAATTTCACATCACAAATTTATTAAATGGTCCAAAAATGGCCTTCATTTTCTATAAAGTATGTAATTTCTTATATTTGTATCAAATTATTTAAAGATTCCTATCATTAGGAAATTGCTTTAGGAATAACGTTAATTTCAAAGCTAATGCTAATGGTCTGTGCACAAGTCAGAGATTTGAAGGAAGTGAGCTGTACTGCAGTGCATATAAATTGTTACTTTTGGCTGGGTTTTGCCGCTTTGATGAAAACATGGAGTGCTGGCTGTTGTGTCTTTTTCCACTCTTTTCTGACTAACATTTATACTCCTTTTTCCCTCTGTTTTCCCTCTCTCCTCTCTTTTCCGCTGCCCTCAGTTTGGATGTATGGCCTTCAGGACAGTCCAACAAAGTCTGAGGCCTCAGGTAGATATGCGATATACGTGTGTGCATGTCACTTTTCCTTTTGCAACTCTTCAATGTGGTCATTTTCTAGTTTTTACAAGTACAGTTCCTAAAAGAGTTCCTTGCCCAGGGTCCAAAATGAACACTCGTCAAGCGCCAAATCAAAATTAGTCAAATGCTATTAATCACCATTTGGCTGGTAACTTCATTAGGAACTGTAACATAATACACAGATTTAATCGTGTTATTACAGTGAGCCTGACGTAAGCAATCCAGAAATTACATTTTGAAATTAATATAAAGATAAATATGGCTTCTAATTTGGGACAATTCAGTAAGCAAGTGGTGTGTGGATGGGCATGACTATGGGAATTCAACTTGCTAAAGAGTCATAAAATGTTCTCCTAAGACATTTACATAAGGATGTAAAAACCTCTTCAGTTTTGATTCCAAAACTGGAACTTTGTTTTTAAGAGCAAGAGCTCATTTAGCAGATCTTAGAGGTCTGCAGGTTTACTTGTGGCTTATATAGTTTATGCTAGAAGACGAAATATTTAGGATAGGTGTTGTAAGGCCAGCAGCGAAGAGGAAGACATTCAGTGTGAAAACGGAGGATGTAAAACATGACATGAGAGCTTGTGGTGTCCCCTCAGTGCTCTCCCGGGAAGTCTTACAGATGACTGCCTGCAAATAAACATTTCAGAAAAGAATGCGCTCTGTTTTCAGAAATAAATGCTGACGCTCACAGAACTACAGCCCATGTGGAGTGTGTTTTCACCATGATCATCACACACACCCTACATATTTGGGCAATTTCCTGCAAAATAAAGAAAACACACTCATTATGTAACACATATCATTTGCTTGTGCATGTGCTTTCTAAAAACATTTCATAATCCGGCTTAAGAATGGTGGTTTCTAACTTTTCCCAGCTGGTCATTAGATGTCATTAGTAAGCTTGTTTATTGCTAGTCAAAAATAGGGTGACCAGACGTCTTAATTTTCCGGGACAGTCCCGGTTTTTGGTGTCCTGTCCCCGACTGGAGCTGTCCCCGGAAATGTCCGGGTTTTACACCATGTTTAGGACAAGAGCAGAGTGCTATTATCATCAATTATCAAAAGAAACACCGTTATTGGTTTCAAGGTAGTCACATACTAACTATATACATGTTAAAACAAAGTAATACTGTTTGTGTGCACTTTATAACAAGACATGATAAGGTTGCGGGATTGTTTGCACACAGCATTAAACATTCCTCAAACACAATTCCGATATGAATAATGTAAAAAAACAATTTGCAGAAAGCACACACTTGAGCCTAAAATGCAAAATAATAAGCCTGATTGGGGATTGTAAAGATCCAAAAGCATAAATATAAAATAATAGTAAACATAAGAATAAATGGATGCAAAGTTTGGAATTAGCACTGTGTTCCTTGTGATGTTGTGGTGACTGTCAGATTGAAGTGAAATATTTCTGCGATTGGCACAAACACCGTTAAAATGTCAGAATTATATTTCACAGTTCACTTCAGCACAGCTGCAAGCATTCAGTTGAGCAATACAGTATGTTGTCATGTTAGCATGTAATGTCGCCATGAAGTGTGAGGCAGCGCTAATTAGCTTGTTCCATACCGATGGTGATAGTGACAAGATACAGAACTACTGTCTCGCTTCTCACAGCACTGAGCGTCTGCACTCAAAGGATTCTCCAGTAATCCTGATTTAAAAGCCCATAGTGTTAAAACACATTGCGCTAGCAACACAGATACGCTGTTGGCATCATGACAGCTTAATGTTGACTGAATACAAGACCAGATTTTATGTTAATTTAGTTTTGTACAAAACATCATTATTTGGTTCAATAATTTTAATTGGGACAGTGACAACCTCAAATGCCAGTATCAAAGTATATTCTTATACCATGGTATTCACAAACATTAGGCACATAATCCATGGTTCGTTTCCAAACAAGACATGTTAACACCATAGTAAATGCTTATATGTGCTTGCATGAGGTACAGCAAATGCACCCACCATCTCTTTGGATAAATTGTTAAAAAATGATACATTTTATGTTTCTGTAAGTAAATTTGAAATATTTCCTATTTAAAGCCTCTAGTTTTCAGAAGACCACACTATGTGAAAAACAGGGAGAACACAACCACACGATGCTGGAAGTTCAAGCGCAAATAAGAAACTACAAAAATAGTTCTCAGAAGTACAAATACACCATTTGAAGTTTTAGTAACTATGCAGAAAGTCAATATATATATATATATATATAAATAGGAATTCACCTTGTGTTTTACAGAATAAAGTAAGTCATACAGGTTTAGGACAACATAAGGCTGAGTAAATAATTATAGAATTTTCTAATGATCTCTTTAAGTCATTGATGAAGAAGAACTGGTTAAAGAGATTGTGAGAGGAAATACAAAAAGAAAGAGAGAAGGATAGAGAAAGAGAGCGTGGCTTAACCCCAGTTGAAATGCTTTCTTTTTGCGTTTTACATAAACACAGCTTCTCTCTCTTTACTCGGCCCACTCATATGTTTCTATTTAAGGCTTGGAGAGCAGTCTACCCTGATTGGCGTTTTTCTCTCTCCCCATTTCAGCCAGATGGGAGGAGGGACGGAGAGAGAGAGAGAGTTTGAAAAATGAGAAAGGGAGGGCAGAAGAGAGAGAGGGAGGGAGGCCTGTTCTTGCTCGTCTGTTGAAGAAAAACTTTCTCTCCCTCCACTCGCAAGTCACATCCCCTACTGTAAACAGCTCTCTCCCAGCCTCTTTTCCCTTCCTTACATTCCTCCCTGCTTCCTCCCAAAAACCTTCACTGTATTATGGAGACCCAGCATCACCAAGACCCTATCGAGCTCTCGAGTCCCTGAATGAAGTCTACCTCGCCTTGTTTTTGTGTAATCTGCCTTTCCCCCCATTCAAATGCGCGTCCAGCGAGGACGAAGGTTCGTCTAAATGGCCCGTCATTGCGGAGCATGCACAGTCAGCAGGAGTTTGATTTGCACTAGGCTGCGGAGTGCGGATGGCGGTGTACAGGGGTCAAGCTGGAGGTCGCTGGCAGAGCAGGGTTGGCGGGGGAAGTGCGGGGATGGCGGGACGGTGGCTGACAGCCTGTTTCTTCCCTTCGCCGGCAGGACCGGACAGCAGTGAGCCCATGGTGCTGGAGCAGTACGTGGTGGTGGCCAACTACGAGCGGCAGGAGAACTCGGAGATCGGCCTGAAGGCTGGAGAGACGGTGGATGTAATCGAGAAGAGCGAAAGCGGTGAGTCCTTCGCACACACTAGAGCTAATTGGCTTACCACGTGGATTTTATTGGTGAAAGCTTGTGTATACACAGACACAGAGTCACCTGCACACATGAATGCTTTCAGATGCTCAATGATCAAAATGTCAAGTGGGTCTTGTTTTTTGCCTCCACGTCTTTTCTGATACATTCCTCCTCTTTGATGTATAACTCCTCCTTTGGTCTTTGTCCTTAATATCCCCTGGTTTCTTCTTCTGACATCCCCCTCTCCCTGTAAATCCACAGTTTTGTTCTTGGCTCCACCTGGAGGTGTCATATGGCCAGTTATCTTGGCGGTTGGTCGGCCTGAACCCCCTATAGATCTCTAGGATGGAGGCCAGACTGATCTGGAATGTCTGTGAGATAGGCATGAGAAGTCTGGGGGTTGAAACGTGTGCTAATGGATCAGGGTCACACCGATAAGAGTTCATGCAGAATGCAGAGACTGACAACAGCAATGGAAAGTGTAGAAAGAAATCCTTGATTGTTGTTTTTATCCCTTTAGTTACTGTTTTCCCAGATAAATGTTCTTGCTAATGCTGTAAATGTTCAAACTTAGTGCAAACTGTTCATGGTAGCGTTTCTCGTAGCCTTGTACAGAAGACATTGAACATTGACTCTTCCAATTAACTATTTCTGCATGGTTGCCAAACATTTGAACGTAGTGTTGTTTGCACATCCAGAGAGCTAGCAATGATAAAAAACAGGCTCTTAAAAACTAGCATCTTACTGTTGTGAGTAATCATTTGATCTTTTCCCTTAAATCATACGGAAGAGGGTGGGGAGGATTAGGAGGAGTTGTCAAGAGTTATCCAGTAAACCCATTTGAACTTAATAACATCATCGAGTAAGACCAACTCAAAGAGGGCTTGACCTTCTGGTTTCAAACATAATGCTTTGTCTAGTCTAGACTCCGTCTCATGGGCGTTCTCTATGAGACACTTTATTTTGAAGTTTGTTTGCTGCCTGTTCTATTGACTTTTGTTGTTTTCATGCTGTAAATTCAGACAAGTGTTTACTTTGTAGATTTTTTTTTATGCAATGACAACAAATTGGCCAGTTTTTCAGAATATCTAGAGGAAACATTCTTGCTTTTCCTTTGGATGAATACTCAGAGCTAGAATACATTATGACCATCATAGAGTAAAGAGGGTAATGCATTACAAATAATGCAAGGCTACGTAATCAGATTACTTTTTCAAGTAACTAGTAGCTCATTGCTAATAAATAATGAATAAGTAACGCAAGTTACATTGTTTTCACATTTATTCACTGACTGTACCTCTGTCCTCGTGTTGAGAGAAATTGCGAGTAAGGATGAGGCACTTCCTTTAGCCTAAGGCTTATCAATTTCACTTTTGGTGTGAAAAAACCTTTAAAAATATAACAATATAAATATAACTTTTGGGTTTTTTGTTATTAAAAAACAAATAAGCAAGCCCAGCCCAGCCCAGGTGACAAAAAGTAACGAAAAAGGCTGGTCCTCTTTTGAAGAAGCCCTGGCCTACGCCAAAAAAAAAGGGCCGCAGGTGGCTTCCACAGGACACTGGAAGGGGCAGTAGCTACACGTTTGAGGTGTATGATGTGGATGAATAAATGTATTCTGGAGTGTATAGTATTCTGACATCATTATTGGCCCACGTTGGTGTTTAGAACATTTGGTGTTAATCACTTAGCGCTCTATCAAAAGACCTGCTTCTGTATTATTATGATGTCAGAGTTGGATTATTGCTGACTTATGACATCACACTGTTATGAACAGCTTGCCAGCAATACTCTGTTACCTTGGCAACAGGCTCAGAAGAATCTGTGTTTCAGCTGGAGAACCGTTTTGAATTTTCATCCATTGGCGTTCACTTATGTCGGCTTTACATTTTTATGTGAGTGTGCCAAATATAGGATTTTAATTCCAAAACCCAAATGATTTACCCAAATTAACTACTCATGAACGTTGAATGGGCCTCTCTTGGTATATCACTCATTTTCTTTGTCAATCTTTTTTGCTGCTTTGTTTCTAAAGTTCATCTTTGAGTTATAGTGGAAATGTGAAGAAACACATAATAATCCACATTTCAAAAACAAATCATAGTGCTGCTGACACTACATTTAACAAATTCAGCACTTATTCAGACACATGAAGGAGGAACCAAAAGACATACATTTAACTGATGAGGTTATTTTGGCCCAAAACACACAAGCACACACATATTAGCTCATAAAACATATCATGTTAGCTGCTAAGAAGATGTTAGACCCATCCAACCTACCTCAAGTTGGACTGTGCATACAAATAAAACCATGTCCACCCGTTTTGATATTTATGATAGTGTCAGGTCTAATTGATCGCAAATGGTACACAGGAAGTGCACAGAATTCATAAACACATCGCCTAAAACTAAATAACACCAGAGAGAGTGTGTTTGTGAGCATGACTGGAGCCAAAACATTGCCTCCCATCAGATTAGTGAAAACCAAATGTTTGTGCATTAGTGTTTGTTTGCAAAGCATGGAGGCATCATTTTATTTTTGTAAATATAGTCTTTCTATAAAAAAGAAAGGATCATTAGAGCTCAGTATTTGACACTGTATTAGGTAAAAAAAATAATATTTTATGTTTTTTTTCTTCTGTTGTGTCTGTAGGCTGGTGGTTTGTCAGCACAGCTGAAGAACAAGGCTGGGTTCCTGCCACATACCTGGACTCTCAGAGCGGCACCAGAGATGATCTGGACCTGGGAACATCTAGATCTGGAGAAGGTAGGACACACTAAATAAACTCTCTCTCACACTTTCCTTTTGAACATGTGCACAAACACTCTTATACCCCAAGAAATCTTGACCAGTTGAACACAAGTATAAGGTGATCTGTTTCACATTCACTGAACGATCAACACCTAGAACCCGAAATATCCATAATGGATATTATATCCCAAATATTCCTTGAGCAACTTCCACTTGTTTATGAGAAAGGGGTGAGGGCTTTGGGATTGTGAGAGATCATCGATTGCAGAAGGAGAAATGACGGAAAGAAGGAAGGCTCTCTTCTCCTTAATGAAAGTGTGGTTATTATTTCTTTGAATCTATACATAATAAATAATAGTGTGGCATACCTGAACACCACATTGAATCTGAATGCTTCTTCAACTATGGGAACTTTTGGCCGTGTGAACTTTAGATAGAAATTTATTTATTTATTCGAATTTTGTATTAACTAATTTAGTTGTTAGCTTTTTTCTGACAGTGTTTATTTATTTGTATGAGTCTTTTAATGAATTAATTTGTTAGTTTTTTCTAAAAGTATTTATTTATTTAATGAAAATTCCCACCAAGTTTTAGTATTGTATTTCTTAGCATTAAATGGTTAAAATGACAGTGGTCTTAAACATTTCGTAATGAAATGGCCTGCTTCATAGCTAGCATTTTATATATCATAAACACACTAAATGAAGTACTATTTTCTAAATTTTTCAAATCATTGAATGAATGAATCGATGAAATGAAACGAAACATTTACATGGTTGAATCATTCACCATAAGATCCATAACATGTATTTGCAAAATAGATATGGTGAATTTACATTCATGTCAACTTCAGTAAAATCAACACTTGGAACATAAATTGTCAGAAGTTGAAGAAACACCCATTTATTTCACATTATTAAACACACATAAAGAACCGTCACATTATAAATATGTCCTCCTCTAATGTCTATCATCTGCTGCCATCAGCATTTCCTGGGTTGAGTTTCCTGTCTCAGCCAACAACATTTTTAGCTGCGTCTTGAAATGTATTCCGCTGAAAGACTCAATGTGTAAGATTAGGAGATAAAGCTTTTGCCACCATCTTTGTCTGAGATAGATCGATACATCCTCACACATGCACACAATTTATTGATCCCCAAGGGTTAATTTACCTTCCCGTGTGGCCACAACGGCTTCATTTCTGGATGTAGCTGCAGTTTTTTTTTTCAGGCTGAACTTTATTTGAACTAGACCATCTTTAGTTCAACTTTGTTTTTTTTGTTTTTTTAATTTAATCTATGGAGTTGATAAGTGGTAAAAACCTTTGTAAAATACTGTATATGAAGTTTCCATTCTGTAACACAATAAAAATTTAAAACACCATACATTTTTTAGACTTTACCATCACACAGTTTAACGTGCGCCACTACAATCTAATAACACGTGTAATATTAAAGTCCTCCTTTGCTTTGCCATCATTGTTCAAGCCAAGAACCCCCTCCTAACCAATCACACAACTCTTTTTTTTCATGTAATAATGTCTTCATTACACTAATACCAGTGTTCCTCTTGAGTTGTTGAGTTTGTCATGTCTCTGTTCTCTTTCCGCTGTCTTCATTCATCCGTGTCAGTTACTAAGAGACGTAAAGCTCATCTGAAGAGGCTTGACCGGAGATGGACGCTAGGGGGAATAGTCAACCGCCAACAGAGTCGAGGTGAACGCACATGCAATCACGCCTGCCTGCATAGACTGATCACATGCAAGCACTCACGTGTGTGACCAATCTGCATGGTGCGTTTGTGTGTTTGTGCAGGTTTACACAGTGATTAGCTTCAAAACGCACACAAATACACTCTTTAGAAACCTAAACTCTCTTTCTGGATCCAACTTCAGGATCTGGCTCCCAAAGCATGCTGGGTGGCCTGTTTCATATGCAAGTCATCATAAAATCTTTATTATACTTGGCTTTATGTCTCTGCTTGTGATTATATGTGCATGAATGTAAAAGGAGATAATTAAGTGTGTTTTTAGATGAAGAAAACGGGTTTAAAAGGAAGCCAATTAGTTATTTTTAAGATGACTGGTTTAGAACAATATAGTAATTGTGAAATATTGTAGTCCGATATCTAGATTAGAAATTTCATGTATGGCATTAGAGTACAGAGTTCCAGAATCTTGTTCTTAAAGGGGTCATATGATGCGATTTCATTTTTTCCTTTCTCTTTGGAGTGTTACAAGCTCTTGGTGCATAAAGAAGATCTGTAAATTTGCAAAGAGTCTGGTTTATGCTAGTTAGTACTGATTTGGTGCTGGTTTAGCTGGTGGACCAGAAATTAATGTCAGCCAGCTTGATCTTTATACTTTTATTCTAAAGCCTACTGACTAAGTAACTTTTGCCAGTTAAGACAATTTAAAGAGATAGTACACCCAAAAATCTAAATTCGGTCAGGATGTCTCCCTCATGCCATTCTAAACCCGAATGGCATTCAGAGCACCAGCAAAATCTTGAAGAATGTTTTTGTCAATACAACATAAGTCAATGAGGACCCATGTTGTTTGGACCCCCACTGACTTCCATTGAATAGACAGAAACATTATTTAAAATCTTTGTTGGTGTTCTGCCAAAGATAGAATAGTGTTGAATTCGGAATGCTGAATTCAGCTGAATTTAGTCAGATCTGGCATCCTGCAGTTTGGCTACATGTCAAATAATTGATATAAACAGTGCATAAACTCTAAACTCGAGGTAGAGGATGAGTTGAATCATGCATGAGGTTTGACCTTTCAAAATCACAGTGTTTGATTCTAAACACCCAGACCTCAAATGAGGATTAATGTCTAGACCTTTGGTGGAAATGTGTGTTTGTATGGTGAGGAGTCTCCTTGGAGATCCGCCGTTTCATGTTGAGTCATGGAATGGACCTCCAAGCTTTAGAGTTGTAATTCCCGCAGTTTTCCGTCTGTGTACTCTTGGAGTGTGCTAACATGCTATGGACACCATGAACATGGCGCTAGAGCATGCTGGATCTGGAATTGGTGGAAGCACATGCTAAGAGCTTTTCCATGCTGTGTTGGCAGGTGGATGAATGGGACTGGGTGAAAATATGTAATCCCTGATCTTATGGGATGAGTTATGTTAAGTTTAATAAGTCTGTTCAAATGTCTGTCCTTCAGAAACCACCACCACTAATAACCCTGTTAACTGGTATTTTGGATGAAATCGTGGTCAAATTTTACATGGATTGTTTTTCTCTTCTCTTTTGATAGGGACTTTGATAGGGATTTGGAGAAAAAATCTGGTTTCAGATTAAATGTGACACTGTTACAGTAACTCGGTGGCTGCCTTTTCCTCATTATTTTCCCTTACTTTGTTCTGCATCATAGGAGAAGTTGTTGGAAACTCACAGTGGAAAGTGTGGAAGTAGGTCATTGGCTCGCTGTGTGTGACTGCATTTAATCCTGTTATTTTTTTTACTGTATACATACTAATGAGTCGGAGAGCACCACGGATGATCCGGAGACAAAGAGCAGCCAGTGGTTTCAGAGGGAACGTTTCTTCATAAACACAAATTGCAACCTTCAAAACAGGTCAGAGGTAGTGACTGATTCAGAGAGGTTGCTTGAAAGACACTAATGATCTTGGATAAAAAAAAACACATTTTGTAACGCAATGGTTTCAAAACTGCAGAGCCATTGGATCCTCAGTTGCAACTAAGCAAGTTCTTACAAAATACATTTGAGTCTTGATAAAAATTCTGTTGTTTACTCAACCTAATGCTCCAAACCAGTATTATTTCATTTAAAATTTTTAGGTATTGCGCTTCCATATTCCACAGAAAGAGATGTTAGGCAATATTGCTCTTTTCCATAAAGTGAATGGGGACCAGGAGCTGTGAAGCTCCAGAAATAACAAAAATACACCATGAAAGCACCATCAAAGTCATGATGTTGAATATTTTATAAGTGGATAATGACTTAAATTTCTGTCTTTTCCTCAGGCAGTATTATCGTATGGCTGAAGTACACTCGGAATATAGCACAAAAAGTTGCATGGTCCTTTTTGTCATTTTTGGAGCTTGAAATAACATGGTCTCCATTAACTTTCAATCAGCCACATTAGCATATTTTTTCTAAACTTCTCCTTTTCTGTTATATGGAAAAATGACAGTTGTCAAGGGTTCAGAAAGATAAAAGGGTGAGTAAATGAAGAATTTTCATTTTTGGGTGAAGTGTTAAGAAAGCGTAGAAATCAGCAGCGGGAACAGCTCAGATTTAGACAGAGCCTGCAGGATCCAGTAAGGCATTTGGTTAGCTTGCATGAAATAAAGCAAGCAAGTTTCGGAAAGATCAATATAATAGCTAGAATGATCTGTGTCTGTAATCTCTCTCTCTCTCTCTCTTTGAACTATTTTGAACATATCGCTGTGGTTTATAGGTCACAGAGGCTGAGGGAGAAAATGCCTTTGTTGGCACGTGCTCCACAAGTGCATGCAAAACTGAAGTAGTGTGTTCTGGACCCAACTGACTTTTTCCACCATCCAGAATAGTCCTCCATGAAAATACTGCTGACTGGTGGAAAATGTGTTTTTGAGGCATTTATTTTTTATTTTTTTTGTCTCTTACATTTTTACCCTGACATCTCTCACTCCTGTTTGTCTTTATCTATCCACACTATGACTTTCTTCTGTGGAACTCAAAAGGGGATGCCTGTGATCAGTTCTTCAAAATCTTATGTTTAAAAACGTCTCAGGTTACATATGTAACCCTAGTTCCTCGAGGGAA